AGTTCACAATAATATGCCAAATATTACTGAGTGAAAAATGTAAAACACCACCAGTGTTCAGAAAATAAATGCTTTTTTAAAATGCTGGATGATGAGATATATACCAACAGGAGACACACTTAGTGAATAAGATACAGTATTAACTTCAACTCCTGAGTCAAATTCTGAGCCGCATCACCACAAAAAGCCAGAAAAAGCTTCATGTTTAGGAAAGAACAGAAAAAGGTCCTGCCTCCCATCTCAAGTACAAAAATGAAGTGGTCCTATATAGTCCTAGATTTTTCTCATGGTCTAAATTCAAGTTTTTAAAATTTAAAAATTGACTTCCAATATTTGGGGACCAGTACATGCTTTAAAATGCCCCTATATCATGGTCCCCCTGGTGGGTCTCAATCTACCTTTCTTGACCTGGTTTCCTCTATAAACTTCATGCACTCTGTCAAAACCACTGCTCAGCGGTCCTCAGTCACACCCGAGTTTTCTCCTATGTGTGCTCATGCTGCAGGTTCCTGCCTTGCTCGTATCTCTAGATATGATGCCCATATTGAACTATCTTGCAGGGCTCCGCTTGAATGGCTCTGGTTTGAAGACGTTTCTTGAATCTATCAGCTGAAAGTCACTTTTCCTCCCTGTAAACCCGCCTAAAACTCCTGATGTGTCCCCTATATCCTAACCACTTCCCTACCTGAATTAAAGTTGCGAATTTACACACACTATTTTCAACTTCACACTACTCTAAAAAGTTATGACCAGAGTCCTGTCGATTTATCTTTGAATTCCCACATGCTTTAATACAATCATTCTTTTTAATATAACTTGTGAAGATTGTTGTTCAAAAGTTTAAGACTATAACGTAGCCGGGAATGTTAGGACACACCTGTAAATAAATCCTACTACTCAGGAAGCTAAAGCAGAAAGACTATGAGCTTTAGGCCAGGTTGGGCAACACTGTGAAACCCTGTCTGGAAAAACCAAAGGGAGAAAAAAAATCTGTAATTCAAACATCATTACAGAAGCTTGTGATGATAGCTCTCCACATTTAAATTACTCAACTTGAAGCTAAACTGTAACTAGAATACAGAATCATCTTGAATCAGCTGAGCAATGGAGCCAAACTACAGGAATAAAATACCTTTTTAATCTTTGACTTTTTGAATTTTAAAATATTTCTGAACCTCAACTTCATTTGTGGTATTATCTGGTTAGCAGTGCTGGCAGATGTTCCAAGTTTTAAAGTACCACAGGTCATGAATATTAAACGCTACAACAAGTTTACTGGGAGGAAATCCAAATACATTTATAAACGTACAGCAAATAGCCCTGCAGTCTCAGTAAGGCTAAGATATACTGTATCAGAATCAGGTACTTTGCTGCATTCAGGTTTTCACAAAGCCAAATGTAAGGGGAAGGATGGGACAGAAATAAGAAAGCAGGAATATCACTTGAAGTCAAATAGCATAGATGCTGAATGAAAAAAATAAGCAACAAGTAAAGCATATTTCATTCAGCGCAATTGATCTGAGGGTTATTACAACTTTAGCAAAATCAAAACCTAGTCTAGCAATAAAAGGGATGGAGCCATGAATGGTAACAGATTCCACCAATGCCATGCCCAGCAACTAGATAAATAGAAAACACACACACACACACACGCACGCAACTGATGTGCAGAAACTGTGGGCTCTGCATCTCCCCTTTCATTCTCTTCTATATACAAAACAATCATATGCACAGAAGCACCAAGTTTAATTTCTTTGGTATTCAGAGAATGATGAACCAAAACCCTGTAACAGGACTTAAAACTCTCACCTTTGGAAATCACTAAAGCGATAAACTTTACAAATGGTTTGGCAATATGGGTTGTTAGTTATGGTCTGATCACCACTACATCTAAATGTAGTACCAAACTTAAGTATCCGCTAAGACCAAAGTAAACATTACTTTCCATGGGCAAAATCCATAATCCGCATTCTCTTTGGGATTAAAACAAAAAAACTATTTCTAGAAAGAGAAGACTCATTTTTCAAAAATGGCCAAGGCTGAAATTTCCCTGTAAAACAAGATAATCTTCTTATCTTGTTTATGTGAAGTAGAACCACAAAATTCAAGATAATGCACATCTTGGAAGCAACTACAGTAAAACAAAAATAGTCTCAAGGATCAAACTGAAAGGATATCATTTCTCCAAATAACCTCAGCTATTCTTAGAATTGCTATAGTAACTGCCTCATTCCCTGCTCTATTTTTCTTTCATTTTCCACCTGTAACTAAATAAGTGATTATGAGACTAATAACAGGAGAAAAAGATGTTTCCTCATTAAAAGAGCTAACAGATGTTAAACAAGCACAGAAAACAGTCACTAGACAAGCAATGACTGATTCTGAGTATGAAAAATTTTGCTTTTACTATTTTATTATCCATATACCTCCTGGGGTCATAGGAGGCTTGTTAAAAATATTGTGGGCAGAGACAACTCTAGTATGTATTTGCAAGGCCACTTTAGTGTAGCCTTACTTTCTCCTTACTTGTTGACCACATAAAACTACATACATGAGAGTGATACAAGAAATGCTGAAACAATCATTTGCTAAGCGGTCAGGAAAATTTATTTTTCTGACATGTGTGTCTTCCAGTCCTGCCTCCCAGACCCCACTTGCCCAGTAATGAAATTCTCATTGTAAACAGGATAGAGTACAGATTTCACCTTAACATTACAGCCACATTAAAAAAGAAATTGTTAAGTGTAAATTCAGTGACTTACAGAACACCAACTGTGTGTGTTAGATGTTGTCCTACAGGCCAAGGATAAGGAAGAACCACATTAAACAGAACCTGCGGCTAACAACTCAGAATATTTTAAAACACAGACTTTGGTTCATACACATTTCTGAAGACTCTTCTATTTCATGTTTTCCGGCAACACTACTGACAAAATTATCGTTTATCAGAATTCAGCCATATTATTTCATAAGTCATAGTGCTTCTCCCCACAGGTGGTTGTTAAGCTTAATATACTAAGAACAGAAGCTGGCAAGTATGAACACTCTAAGTGTTCATTAATTATTAGAACACCTACTATATGCCAATAACTTACTATTTCTTACATACTTTAGCAAAGAAAAGTATAACTTTCAATATGTTCTTTGCAGAACTAAAAAAGCATTGTATGTAATGTGCATATGTGTAGCAAGTCTTAAGAGTTAAATTTACCCAAATTTCATCTCAAATACTTTGTCTAGCATAAACCCGGATTATTTGTATTTTTTAATTTACTACCAATAATAAAAAGTAGGACACACCACAAAGAATTACTGTCTTCCTAAAGAAATCTTACACTCTACTAAACAGAATCCTGCAGTTTTAAGAAATTGCAGTTATGGAACAGAAGGGACTGGTAGTGGCACAGTACCTCAGTTCAAGGTAATCTTTTCTGCAAGGTCCTGTGAGATATTTGAACTTCAGGAGCAGAATAAGAATTTAGAGAAGTGTTTATAACTAAGTTGAGTACACTATTACACATCTGAAATCTCAGCTACTCAGGAGACTGAAGCAGGAAGATTACAAGTTAAAAGACAGCCAGGGAAACTTTGCAAGACCTTGTCTCAGAAATAAAAAAGAGAGAGGGTGCAACTGTAAGAAAAACAACAACAACAGCAAGTTTCAGAAGCAGAACCACAAACATGATGAAGAGATACTGCATGTGAGTACTGAGATGAAAACATCAATATTACAATATAAAACTAGAAATTTCTGCCTTCTAATAACTTCCAGGTTTACGTGAAGACCCATAATTTGTATCATAAAGCTAAAACATTTGTGCATTGGAGTTTTCTGTTCACGTTTGAGTTGCTTTAATAGGGCAAGGCAGCTTACATCATCTGGCAAACCTTACCCAGGAAGCGGAGGTAACTGGTAAGATAATGAACGTAATTATTCTCTACAAGTTCAAAGGGCTCCTCTGAAGTCTTCTAATCTACTTTCTTCAGGAAGAATCTCTTCTGACTTATACCAGATATAGAAATCTACATATTTCACTGGCATAATATGGAATTTTCTGTAACTTGTGCAAACGATCTATACAATCCACAAGCTTCTCAGTCATGAGATTCTAAATCAAAGTTTCTGCTAACAAGTGCATTGGTTAATTTCTAGGCAGTTCACATTTTATGTGCTGTCAAATCGCTGTACATTTAAAAACCACTAAAAGTAAAAAATTACAATTTCCATCAATGTTTCTTATTTTTTACTTCTTTTCAGCCAGTATACATATATTAGGTGTCTTCCAAACAAGTAACATCATCTGATTCATATAACCATCCCAATTCCCGGAAACAATGATAACTATCTTTTCATTTCCAGATGAAAAGACTTATCATAGGAACGGTTCGAGCCTTCAGGTTCTATTCCACACTATTTCCTTTCTACTGAGCATTCATCAGACTTTGTATATGTTTGTTCATCTTTATACCTTCACAACATAGTAAAAAGATGGCTAGACAATCAGAAATACGAATTATACTGGGAAACCTTCACCTTATCCAGAAGAATGACTGAAAGAGTTAAGGTAGAGTAGCAGCTCTCAGAGGAAGGGTCTTGCTGCCCCCTACTATTTATTACCTTTGAAGCTACCAGACCGATACACAGGGAGGACTAAGAGCAGGACAAACAGTGTCGCCTGAGGACACCGAACCTTCAACAGTACTAAGTCCTCTCCCATAACGAGGAGGCCTCAACACTCTCCAAGGTGTTCCTCTGTTACCAGCATTTCTCAACTTTATCAAGCAGCACAGTTAAGGTTGCCAGAAAAAATACAGAATGTTGAGATAAACTGCAATTTCAAAAGACAAATAATCGTAAAACATCCTAAGTATGTCCTGATTATTGTCTAGAATACTGTGCTTTGCTTTGTTTTGCCTAGAATATTCTTATGGTGAGGCACTCCACAGTAAACAACTCTGCCCTTACAAATATATTTAGAGCTGGGTGTGGTGGCACGCACCTGTAATCCTAGCACTTGGGAAGCTGAGACAGGAGGACTGCTGTGAGTCTGAGGCCAGCCTGAAGTGATAGTGAGAGCCTGTCTCAAAAAGAAAGAAAAAAAGAGAAAAGAAAAAAGAAAAAGAAGAAGAAAGAACAGAAACAACAATAAAATATATTTTGAAAATATACTTTTGAACTTCAAAGAGATTCAAAAGCAAGTCCTGAATTAATGATTTAAAATAATGCCATGGTAAAACAGAAGTTCTGTGAAACCAGATTTCACAGGCTATCCACATGAGGTTCCAAACATCACTGAGCCTACATGTTGAGATATACTGCAACCTGCAGAAAAGACCAATTATTCTATTTGAATTTTCAGGAAAACAAGAAGGTGTGTTATTGTCAATGACATCATTCTAAGAAAAGAACAATTATCCTCTGCAAATCTTGAGAGAATTAAAACTGTTTCTAAATGAAGAACTTAACTTTTAAACCATATGATGGTTCCAAGCCATGATGAGACCCTACCTGGAGTTTTCTTTAAAGTTTCAGCATTTAACTGAGATCACAGAAGAACTTCACTAAGTTGCAGTGTTAAGTCCTAAATGAAAAGGTTATATTTCTCATAGAGCAAATGCATAGCAGCAATTATTCTGTTTACTAAGTGAACAAAACGGCCAACGAAAATGTTTTATTTCTACTTTCCTTCATTTTTTCTTAATATCTTCCCAATTCAAAACTAGGAAGAGAGCAAAAGTAGTCAAACCTAGGAAAACTTGATGGCTTCCTTCCTTATAACAAGTATGCAAAACCATAATTCCTACCTCAAGAGGTACAGTGGTACTGCCTGCAGCCCCAGGTACTCAGAAGGCTGAGGCAGGAGGGTACAGTTGAATGCACCAGCTGAGATAAACCTGTGTAACATAGCAAGACTTTGTCTCAAAAAAATTAATACTAATAACAACTATTATTATTATTCCTTGCTTGTGTCCAAAAGGAAGGAGGAAGTTTGCCTAACATATGGCTGAAGTTTCCAAACCCTGGCCTGATTCATTACTAAATGAAACCAAAGGTGAGTTTTTCAAGTGACAGATGAAGGGGAGACAGAAAGGTAGGCAATTCCTCAAGGGGTCCAGGGTTCCCTCAATGTCTCCCCTAATGCTCTGGCAAATAACTACTCAGTCTGTAAGTGTACGCACATCCCAAAATGCTTCTGTGGCCATGAAATTAGGGAAGTCAGAACAAACATTAAGCCCTGAGGCAATGGTCTACATTGGCCTTAGGGCAAACTTGTAATAAGAGCTTTCTATTTTGGCTTTTCTTGTACACTCTAACAACAAAAAGGTGAAAATGAGTCACTGTTTAAGAATTCAACTTCCCAGTGCTGTAGGAATAGGGTTGCTTTCTGAACTCAGGACAAACAATGTTAACAAATGGCAGGGGTCTAACAGCTAACTCAGAGGAGTCTAGCAGCTAATTCATTATTGGTTGTTATTTTTATAAAAATACATTATAGGCAATTTACTGAATGATGGAGAATTTGGCAAAAATAACGAATGAATTAAAACCCAATGAACAGAGATGGATATTCTTTATAAGGCAAAATTATTCTTCTACGTTTGAAATCATGAAAACAACTCAAGAAACCTGAGAAATAAAACAAGCAGTGATTGAAACCCTCCTTCGCAGAGAAAGGTCAAAAAGACACTTCCACTTGCCCAAGATCAAAAAGGAACTTATTTTAAATTCTGCATGAAGAGGAACAAATTTGCCTTTTAAATGGTGGCCAAGACCCAAGCAAGGAGGCGACTCAGTAACCCAATGCTCCAGAGCCAACAATCACTTACTTTGTAAATGGTAGGTAAGATCTGCTTCATTTTCAGCCTGTGAAAGACAAAGATATCATAAACCGCTGAAACGGCGAGAACAGTCACTCCTTGTTCCTTCCACAACATGCTGCATCCCGCACACAGTCCGGTCCCCAGGAACCAGCCCCAGGTCCAGGCTGAACAGCCTCGTGTAGAACAGTGTTTAATGTAGCACAGCAAGGAGAGGAGAAAGAACAGACTGGCCCCTACATCAGCCCGGCCCACGATTCCTGCCACTGCCTCTGTGTGGATGGGGTGGGAAGCAAACATCAAGCCAGCCATAAAGGTCCAATATCCATCACCAAGGAGAATCTTGGAGAAGCTCGTGAAGAGACCGGTGACAGCTGCATGCAACAGGACATTGACGAGATGGTAGCTCCAGGGATTCAAGCCTCCGATGGCGTGGTTCAGGCGAAAGGAAAGAGTGCAGAGTGGCCGGTAGGACTTGTGGCTGCCACTGTGTGTTAGAAGAGTCCCCCAAAAATCATTGTAGAAAATGTGTGTCCATGGAGTTTCTCGGAGGAGGTCTTGATTTGTCTTGATAGCACGGCTAGAAAACAAAAATATTTTAAAAACATCAGTTGTAAAATGCAATAAGAAAATAAGGGAATAATAAATAAAATGACATTGCTGAGATATTGCCTACCCAGAAGTTTGATTATAAGGTGGCTTTGAGATTCCAATAATGCTAAATTAAATTCAGATCTTTCCCCTAAAGCCCACTAACACCTCCATCAAGGAAGCACCTCTTTTCTTTGTTGGAATGCATAAACATAGGGTTTTGTCAATGATTTCAGCTTAGATGTAACAGTTGCCTAACAACTGCCCTGAAAACCATATGGCACACTGGCTAAAAATGCAGATTCCAAGCTTCAGATTGATGCAAGGTCCAAGAGTCTGCAGTTTTAAGCAGGTGATGCCAGTGTAAGGGATCAACTACAACTAGAATTGGTCCTTTACTAAAATGTAAATTTTAAATCAAATACTAGTACCCAGAACAGTGCTTCCCACATACACAAATCAACTGGGGATCTTGCTAAATAGCAGGTTTGGACTGGACAGTTTGGGAAGAAGTCTGGGACTTGGTTATGGCCGGTATCTGGATCTCCCCCAATGACTCATGCAATCACAGATGGGGTTCTTCAGAGGTGGCTGGATCTGGGGTCTAATGCTGAAATTAAGGATGTGATACTGGGATTCACTCTTGGTGTGATGCTATGATTAAGGTTTCTCCATCCTGGATGTGAGTGCTATTTGCCCTAACAGTGAATAACCTGGACAGATTATAAAGGACAGGAACAGGGCTGCTCTGATCCTCACTTGTCATTCACTGCTTGCTGCCCTGCTGCCTTTTCTCTTGCTTTACGATGGACTCTGTCTTCTCTGCAGTGCCCCTCTGCAATGCCACCCTGCCTTGGAGCCAGTCTCCTGTGGACTGAAACCCATACGTACTATGAGCTACAGTGAACCTTTCCTCCCTTAACATTAGGTGCCAGGTATTTTGTCTGAGCAACAGGAAAAGTAACTAAGACAGACTCATGTCTCTGATAAGCTCCAAGGTGATGCTAATACCCCTGAGAGCTGCCAAGTCCAAGAGGACTGATGACCCTGGGCGGGGGGGATCTCGACACCCAGAGACCCCCTTCTTCCTTCATAGCACACGTCAGCCCATCACACTTCTCTGCTCTCAGAGGTCTCACACTGACCCATAGAAATTATTATGTCTGCTAACTTGAGAATTAAAAGTTCCAGACTTGCACACCTGATATTTCCAAAGAAATTTCAAGGTAGGTATTACTGTTTTCTGAGTACTTGCTTTCTGCAACCACTGTACTGGAGTTCTAGGCACACCTTCTCAGTGAACTTTTGAATAATAATGATGTGATAAACATTAATCTCCACATCTCTCAGGTGAAGAAATTATAGATAGAGAAAACTAATAGCTTTTTCAAGTTTGAAAAAGCAGAATAGCATTTCGTGGCGTGTGCTTTTTTTTCATTATTCCGGGCATCCTAAAATGTGATGCACATACACTTGGGGGTTTACAAAAAAACAAACCCTCTAACAACATCCATGTGTATATTTAGTTAAATGTGTACATGCAAGAAAAACTAATTTTCTTATTATAGAAGTTTGCTCAGAATGAAGCCGTCAAACATTTAAAAGTCAATAAAAAGGCCAATATTAAGGAACTCAGGCTACTGCTATATGTAGATCTGATACACTTATTGAAGATAATATATAAATGATTCAATTTAGGAATTCCCAGGAAGCAAGGTCAAATCTGAAGTATTTTGTTATTCAAAGTGGATCTATCTCTCCATTTCCAGATACTCGAAAGAGGCATGGAGTTAGAAGGCAGCCGGACAGTGACATTCCAGAAGTGGGAAACTCGCTTGATCTGGTATGAGAGCTGCTCAGAGAAGTTCCTGAGGGGTGTGGCTGCAGATGAAATGATGGGAGGCTGCCTACTGACATTTACCTGCCACTCCCTTACCAGCTCTGCCTTTCAGTACGAGGCAGCTGTGATCAGAGAAAAACTTCCATATAAATGTTATCAAAATTCAAATTTAACAAGTCCCAATTGAGGGACTAAGGAGATATAAGCATTCCTGAGTCCCAGCTCGGTAATTCATTGCCTGATTTGAAAAAACAAGAAAATGCAACAGAGATTCAAACACATTAAGAAACACCACCAAAGTGACACAGCCAGTGGAAATAGGTATTATGCCAATTGGAATCAAACGACTAGGCAACGGTAGTTTTCAATAGCGTCTCTAAGTTGCTTCTTAATTAACCTATCTGAGCTCCAGTTTCTGTGATAATAGTCAACCTTAATTGGAATCACTTAACAGACACTTGTAATTGTTCATTTATCTTCTATACAGAGAAGCAGGAACATAGCTTCGCAGATGTATGAGCTTTGTAAACACCCTACTACAATGCTAATACCCCTCAGAGCTCCAAGGCCAAGAGAACTGATGACCCTGGTCTCCGTCCTATTAGCTGATATTATTATAATTAAGTGGAATAGAAGACTGGGCTACAATCTATAAAAAGTCTCTTATTGAAGTCTGCTTCATCTTTAACTTTTGAAATTCACTACATTTAGAGGTTTAGAATTAAAATAGATCAATCAATACCTATGGTCATCTACTATGTGCCAAATATCACGCTGGTCCTTTTATGTATATTATCTACTTATGAGAACTAACTGACTGGCCAAAAGGCAGATCTGTTAAAACCATGTCTGGAAAAGTAACTGCATAGCAGAGACAGTTCATTGTCTCCCAACATCTAATCTCTTGTTCTATATGAACAGAATTTTAGTCTTTAGCTGAGCACATGATTATCAGGCATATTTACTTTGATGCTAAACATGGTCACATGACTAACTTTGAGCTACTACTCCAAAAGTGTGTCCTAAAGGTAAAAGTACCTTTTTGCCTTCATTTTGCCCCTGCCTCTTTCCTGCTACCTGGAGCACACATGTAATAGCAAAGCTTCAGCAGCCCTGTTGGCCATAAGGGGTACTTAGGGATAAGAATCCCATGTGAAAACAGAGAAGACAGAAGGAAATTGAGTCCCTGTCACGGTAGAACACACCAGCCGGAGGCAAACTACCTCCCTGTTTCCTCCATATGAGAAATAAATTGCTATCTTTTTCTAAACGATGTTTTGAGAGTTAAACAGTAACAACTGAACTTCACCGTAAGTAAAATCCTTTGTTGCCAGAAGACTGACTACATCAGAGAAGTTTGATTTTCCATTTTGATTTTTCAAGTCTCCGTGTATTGACTATGCATTAAATGAATTTCCATATAAATTGGCTTTTAAAATATTAGAAACAGATGTTTTTCTGGATCCATTAAATTAAAACACCCTGCTATGACATTCATCAAGAGTCTAACCCAGAAGTAATTGCTTAAGACTTGATGGGTTATAATTAAAATTTAAAGGAAATATGAAAAACTGCCAAACTGCCAAACGGTGTTGTCAGAAAGAGCTGATTTAAAATAACTCAGAATGAAACTTAACTGGCTTCCACTAGACATCCTAGATATTGATGTGAATATCTCTAATATCAAATGACTGTAGCAACTTTTGTACGATTAAAGGCAGGGCAGTGGAGAGCATCTCAGTGGCAAAGCACTCAGAGAATGCCGGGAAGAAGCACATTTTGTTCAGGACAACACTTCACTCTTCCAGTGAAAGCTTCAAAAAGGATGAAGAAACTGTCTTCTCTAGACAGTTTTTCTCTTCTATTCCTTTCCTTTCTTTTTGCCTTTTCTTTTCTCTTTTATTTCCTAACTCTGTTTTCTACAAACTATTAGTTCAGTGCTACAGCCAACTCTTCCAAAGGCTTTTTGGAAAAAATAAAATAAAAACCCTTTAAAAATCTGTGTAAAACTGCTAGAAGTTATTATCTATATAGTAATAAGTTTTGTAACCTGCAGCAACCACAAGATATAGCATATCTCTCAAAAAATGAGGTTTTCAAAACAAAGACAAAAATTAATAAATCTCATAACTTCATTGTGAGGAAAAAAAACTGTGAGGCATCGCTCTGAATTTATATCAAAGGCAAAATTTAAAGGGCAAATGATGTTTATAAAACAAAAATGTAAGAGCAAGGAAACATCTCGACCATGTTTAAAACATTCTATACTGAGAGCCTTATGCATGATAAAATTCTTTGGTTTTATCGTCTTAAGCATGTCTTTATGTAACCAATGAGTATTACAGCAAAAGAATTCAGGATACTAAGCTCCACTGGGCTTTAATGTGTAAGTCATGTCACATATGCAAGTCAGTGCTAAGGGATGCACTGTACTACCTCAACACCATATTAAGAAAGATACCATCTCCCCAAAAAGCCTTAATAGAATCTGAGTAATAAGAGAAGTAAAGGTAGTCATTACACTAAGCATAACAGATTCTGATCCCTTTGTATTTTCTAAGTCCATCATGGAGATAGTGAAACCTTTTCTGTTCGCTATTTTGCAGCTAATGAAACACCTTAATGCAAAACAAAATTTCATGTTGATATAATTTCTGAGGTTGCTTCGTTGAAGCATTTGATGTTGAAAATTCACAGATAGTAAGGAATTAGGAAATTTTCTACTCTGGGCAAAGTGAAGAAATCAAAGCAGTAGATGGGGAGAATAATTCTCTAGAGAATACAGAGATGAATTGTCTTTTGAAGTAAAATGATACAGTCTCTCAAGTTTTCACAGAGGTCTTAACCTGTTTCCAGTTTTGTTCATTTACAGTTCTTTGTTTTTGCTCTCTTACAATTTTCTCCGTTAGGAAATGTTGACAAAGGCCAACGTCCTTTTAAAACTGATGAATGTTGTGACACCGCCATCCAAACTGCCCTTGTGTGTCTGTTTCTTACTGCTATTTTTCCTGACATTGACCTTTTCAGTGAATACACACTCACACAAATAATGACCACTGATCCTTCAGTGCAGAAATGATGCTTAGATTCCTCAAACATCAAATGATATGGTGTTCTGAAATGTTTTTGAAATGTTTTGATTGTATGTG